CTCCTCCTCCTCCTCCTCCTCCTCCTGCTCCTCCTCCTCCTCCTCATCCTCCTCCCCCAGCCTCCCGCGGCCTCGAAGGGGCTCCCAGGAGGCCTCTGAGACCCAACCTCGGAAGGTCTGCGGAGGCCTCCAGAGGTCATCGGGGCAAGCCTTTTGAGAATGGCAGGGGGGGCAATTCAGTCAGAGGGCAGCGCCCTGGATCGAGCCACGCCACGCCTTCTGGGGTGCGAGGGCCATCTCCTGACAAGCGGAGAAGGGTAAAACAAATAGCTGCTTCCAGCTCGGGGAGGCCTGGCCCAGTGCGGCCAGGAAGCTTATACACCTACAGTGACAGATGGGGGCATAAACCTTCCAGCCGCCCTGAGACAGGCGCCCCCCTTCGCGGAGCAGCATATTTCCTGCCGCTCATCGCCTGCTCGTTCTCAGAACGGCGCCGCCCCGACCCCGGCCCCTGTTCTCGACACCAGTACCTGTCGGCTGCTGCAGTGTCGTTGGCCCGCACAGCGGAGTGGATCATCTTTCCGAAGCTCCTGCCGCTGGGAGTGACCCTCTTACGAGAACGGCCCTCATGCACCGCACCGTGTTTGGACTCCTTTCGGGCCTCGCTCCAACGCGGTACGGTGCACAATTTGTTCGGCACTGATGGCTGGACACTATGCGCCGTACCTTTCGTAGGTCGAAGATCGAGGACGCCCCGGGAGACGCCACCGCGGAACGGTGCATACAGGTCATCCGCGGACCTCTGACGCACCATGGCCTGAAAATACAGCTCCGCCACCTGCAGCTCCCCCGCATGCGCGCACGCCTTGATGGCGGTGTTGAACAGCATCCGCTTCAGGCGCTGCGGGACGTCGTGCTCTATCCTGCAGAGAGGAAGAAAAACGGCACACACATAACATCTCGGAGTTCCACGAGGATGTCTTATGACTTCTTAGCTTTCTTGGATCCGCGCTGATACACCCCCTCCCTGGCGTCGCTACCCGCACCCCAGCCTCTGGTCCTGGCTTGGCTCAAGGTTGCGGGCTGGTAGCCTGCCGGCGCCAGAGGCGCCGCCAGAGGTTCCACAGCGCAGATCAAAGAAATGTGCGCGGAGCTCCGCAAGTTACTGATTGTGGGTCTTTCTCTTCTTCGATATCCTCCGCAGCACTCTGTGCGCATCCCCTATCGCTCCAGCTTCAGCGAAGGCGTTGAGCTCACCTAGAGGCCTTCCAGATGGGGTCCGAGCAGCAGATGAGGTCGAAGCATTGCGCTGCAACGCCGATGCATCGGCGACGCCAGCACGGAGAACGTCGGACCCTAAATCGAGCCGCATCGCCGATGCATCGGCGATTCGGGTCGGTCCTTCGACCCATCTACTCCGACCCCGTCTGGGAGGAGAAGGAGGAGGAGGAGGAGGAGGAGGAGGAGGAGGAGGAAAAGGAGGAGGAAGAGATCCAGGTTGGCCAAGGCCCAGGTATCCGTAATAAGCCTGACTGGCCGCTCCGTCTAGCTCCCAAGCCCGGGCCAGCGACGTGCGGCTGAAGGGGCCTCGGCCCCACGCCCCAGACCCCCTCGCGCGGTGAACACAATCACGACGGGAGGTTCTTTCGGCTATCTTCGGCCCTGGGGGGCCCCTACTGGTCCTCGGGACCGTCAAGAAGGAGTCAGGAGGAAAAATCGGTCCCGGGGAATGGGTCCGGACCTCTGTTGGCGGCGTGCAGAAGGGGATGGAGGGAGGGGGGAAGTCTTCTTAGAAGGAGGCTGCTTCTTAGGAGGCGCCAGCCTTACATCTATAGATAAGGACCGCGCCTTCTAAGAACCAGGGGTGCTTCTAAGAAGCCCTCCCCCCTCCCACCCTCTGCGTGTGGCTGACTCTGGGGGTCGCGTCGTAAAAAAAATCACGACGTCGGGGGTCTGGGCGAGGCTCCCAACCCCAGTCAGCCAGAGGGGGTGGACTGGCCCCACTCAGCGCTGGCCCGCGCTCCCTGAGATCCGGCGCTGCGAACAAGTTGCAACATCGCGACAAATCACGACCGGAGCCCCAGACCCACTTTTCTGCGTCCTTTTCCTAACCGGATCGGTCTGCGAGGGGCCTGGGCCGGGCCCCGAAACTGGGCGACGAACCCTGTGGGAAACAATGGCCATACCTGGTGCGAAATACTTGCAGCACCCAACAACTTGAGCTTAATCGAGGTCCAGCAGCGCTGACCCCCGTTACGGCAGGTCAGTGCCGTGCCGACTTCGACGTTGGCTCCAGACACATCGGGGATCCTTCAACCTAGAACGATCGGCCGCTTCCCAAACGTCCGATCGCTCAATATCGACCGATTCTGGGTCGCCAGCGGCGGTTGACGTTGAACGACGGCGCCGGGGTCGCCGCCGGTCGACACGACGCGACCCTACCGTACGTGAGTCCCGATAACAGAGGCCTCCTAGATGGATCGGAGTAGATGGGGTCGAAAGATCGTGCCGCATTGCCGATACATCGGCGACGTATCGCCGATGTATCGGCGATGCATCG